GGGACAGGAGGATCCAAGAATTGGTTGCCTAGCTAAAAAATGATTTCTGAATCATTAGCCACTATTGGGACAGGAGAATCCAAGAATTGGTTGCCTAGCTAAAAAATGATTTCTGAATCATTAGCCACTATTGGGACAGGAGGATCCAAGAATTGGTTGCCTAGCTAAAAAATGATTTCTGAATCATTAGCCACTATTGGGACAGGAGGATCCAAGAATGGGTTGCCTAGCTAAAAAATGATTTCTGAATCATTAGCCACTATTGGGACAGGAGAATCCAAGAATTGGTTGCCTAGCTAAAAAATGATTTCTGAATCATTAGCCACTATTGGGACAGGAGGATCCAAGAATGGGTTGCCTAGCTAAAAAATGATTTCTGAATCATTAGCCACTATTGGGACAGGAGGATCCAAGAATGGGTTGCCTAGCTAAAATAATTTAAAACACATGAACAAATGATGGCCATCAGTTGTATGATGTTTAGGATTAACAATTTCAGGATTTAGCCGTTTTTTTATCCTGATTTTTAAAGGCAGCTCCAAAGGAAATATGTACCGATACCATGCTCATCAAGGCAAAGAGCAATAGCGGGGGTGGGGGGTGGGGTGGGGTGGGGGTGTAATTCTGTAATCACTGTAAAAATGTGTCATGTTTCCACAGGCTAGACGTACAACGTAATCAATCAAATATTGTTAATGTTGGCCAAATTAGATTTAAGTAACACTATTAGCTCTGAAACAATGACATCTACTTTGAAAGGCTGAAGGAACATACATGTACTGTATGATGTAAGAAAAAAGGAACTTGAAATTATTCCCAATTGCATGCAAGAGTTACCGGTAATTTTCTCTTCAATATTGAACACTGTGCTATAAAGAACTTAAACAAGCATCAAGTTTCACAAGTTTGCATTGATAAATAATTCAAATACACCCAAATAGCTTAAAATTAAAAGTAAACAATATCAACTTTCAACACACAAGAGGACTAATGTTAAAAGTAGGCCAGGTCTTCTTATATCTAATATAAAGTGTGCCAAGGCTAAAACTACTAAATCATATGTAGCAACTAATGTCAAAATAGAGTCTTGGTACATATTATATACACAGACCTACAGGGTTGAAAAGACATGCACATTTGCTATCTTAGTTTAACTGCAATCTTATATTTCTTATTCAATCAGTAGAGTAAATGTACTTTTTACTGTTCAGGCCCAGCAGTTTAAAAAAAGCATAAAAATGTAAAACTGAGCAATATGTTTTTTTTTCCAAAACTGATGCATACATTTTAATTTTTATAGTATTCAAATTCTCATCAAAATAGTGCTTTAATTTGGGTTTTTCATGAATATTTAATTTATTTTTTCTAAAATTCTGTCATAAGATGCACGTTTTTAATTGATGCAGCTGATGATCATAAATTTGAGTATTGTGTTACATTTAAAAACCTTGAATACATGGCTACTTTATAACAATATATTTTGAACAAATTTGGGGAACAAATATTTCTTCCAAACAAACGTCCCAGTTCCCACAAATTTTTATTGTCAATGGTCATTTCTGTCATTTCTAGCTTTAACAATATAGGGGTTAAATACAATTCCCATTTGGATGACCTACATTGAGTGTCAAAGTCAACTTCTGTCACCTAATCTTTTCAATAATCTTCTAACAATTTTGATGAAGACCTGATGTAGCCAACGTGAAATTCTGTCAATTTGGGACAAAATTACAAAAAATACATAAAAATATGCAAAATGTACAATTTTTACTTAAAATGTTGTGGTGGTTGTGTCAAAAACATTTTTATGAAAAAGTATAAGCAAAACATGATGTTTTAATTTATTTGACTTTACATCCAAAGGTAATTATAAAAAAACAAATAAAAACAGAGAAATCACAGAAACTCCATTAAAAGAACAATGCAAGTCTGTTTCCTTCAGGAAGGAAGTATTGCTGCACTGTCTCCCAGGAAGGAGTCCAAATACTGATGGTAATGTAATCAATTCCATATCCCTCCCAATCTGAGATGCATTTAGACCAGTACAGCACAGACTATACACACTAGGGACACACAAGTGTGAAGTATGTTAAATGACTATCAAGGTTACCAGATGAGTGACAAGAAATAGTATCTTGCCATCCAGACAGTGCATGTAAACTCCACCAGGAGACATAGAATTGAAAATGGGGTTACGGCAATGTATAATGGGGACAGCCACCAGTCAATAATTCCCTCTAGGCAAATTACGGAAAGAAAATCAGGAGAAATTGATGAAAGAAGTGTAAAAGGTGGTTAAGTGCAGATGCTTCCGCCTGACAAAATCACATCATGATGATAAATGAAATGAAGTTTCTATAGTGGTAGTGTTACCATGATATATTAACATATATTATATTACACCAAAGTGAATTACCATATTTGCTTCATCCATCAGAAACACATGCACTTAACTAAACTGACTTGCAAAACAGTTTACTTAATAGTAACCAGTATGTTTCAAACAAAGCCAAAGTAAACATTTTTGTTTAGATGTACACTTCTATTGGAGATATGCAAATAAGTTTACTGATGATATAAAGCAAATATGCAGATGAAGACTACATGAAATCAAACAAGAAATATTAATCTGAAATAAATAAATTTATATATTCTCACATCACTGAATATAAAAAAGAATATATGATAATATCACAAATTCGAAAGTGATCATTTACAGTCTTAAGGTCATGGTAAATTATGATGCAGTTTTTTAAACTTTTTATCAACAATTTGTTTTGATAAATTTGAGCCAAGTAAAATAGTAAATTGCGAGCAAAACTGACAGGGTTTCACTTGGTTTTTCATATTCACAATGG